AGTTGACAAATCAGCATTAGACGAGATCCACTTTTCCAATTCATCATTATAACTTTTCCGATCCAAACTCCGATTGTTTTCAACCGTTTCTATCTTATGTTCAAACTCCTTCACAATTCTTTCTATCTTTTCGTTATACCCTCGATGTAAAGATTCATTACATTTCTCATTAACATAATTTTGAAGTTTATAGTTCTTTTCCAGCTCATCATACTTTGCTYGBAAWTCTTGATTCTCTTTCAAAAGAATATCTGCCATTTTTTTTTTAAAAAAATGATCAATTAAGGATCTATGCAGTGAAATCAGATAAAAAAAATTAACAGTTAAGCTCAAAAAGAACAGAAAAACACAAACACTGAAAAACACACGCAAAAACAAATATACAATGATCCAAAAACAAAAAATCTAAACACAAACAATCTAAGAAACCAAAAACAGTTAAAAAAAAACAATAAACCAAGTCCAAAATTCTGACTTTAAGTCCAAATCACACCGTATCAACACTCTACAATACAGATATTACACTTTAAACAAAAAAAAAATCTAACTGCTCTCAAAAGTGTATTAAAAAATCCACGAATATGCTCCGCTTATCAGTTGCTTCACACGAGCTGCGGTGACTTGTTCTGATATGCTTCAAATCCAAAATTGCTGTCAAAACCTGTGGAGCTATGGAGCTGCTGCTTAGTCCTGCACACTGCTGTTTCAAACCAGCTGTTAGTTGATCACACCTTGATGTTTAGTATTTTCCAAAACAAATCACAAAACAATATTAAACCAATGCAAGCTGTTGTTTTAAAAGCTTCTGCTGCTGCTTGCTTAATGCACACAACCTGCACAATCTTAAAAGAATCTTTCACAATGTACACTTCTGTTCCAAATCAAAAACCAAAAACAGACCTGCTGTACACAAAATTATGTTGTTTATCAAACCTTKCTTGAGACACTTRTTGCTGTTACTGCATGGAAACAGCTCAAAAACAGCAAACTGTAAATAGCAATMTGTTTCAAATCTGTAAGCAACAAAGAACCTRTAAACAGCAAACTGTTTCAAATCTGATCAATGAAATACCAATAGCAACAGTTTTAAATCTGCAACTTCTGTTTTGAAAAACTTTGCAATACTGTGAAACAAACACTTGAGATGCTGTAACCAATCTGCTRTCACCTTAAAGAAACAAATCTRCAAGCTTTTGTTGATGTGTGAACCCTCTTCCTGAATATACTTGYTGTTTTGTTCACTGTCTAAACAAAAAGTTGCAGCTGCGACTTAAACAGTCGGCTGTCACCAATCCTTAACTGTGAAGAAACTGTTTAATACTAAACAATACAGCAAACAAAAGTTAAACTATATGAACCTGCTGCTGTTTTTCACAATGGATAGCAATTAAGCAACTAAGAACAATTAACTATGAACCTGTACTGAATGTGCTGTAAACAACAACAATAATAACAAGGCTGCTTTTAATAACAAGTCTGCTGCTGTGATCTCAAGTTGCTCATTGCTGAAACGATGACCTGCTTTAGTTCCTCATAAGCTATGATCGAGTCAGGACTGCTGTGGAGTTGCTGTCAAGATCACACTATGTAGTTGCTGTTTAATGCACTTGCTGTGGAGTTACTGCTGTTGCAGTTACTATTAATATTTGAGACACTGCACACTCAAACAGTCATTTACTACACGAAAGTAGCTAAAAAAATAAACTGTTTCAAATCAAAATCACAAACACAACAAACACGAAAGCTGCTTTAAAAAGAACCTGTCAAAAAACAGACCTTTGTTGCTTTCTTCTTCTCTGCAAGTCTGTGATCTCAACTTGAAATTCCAAACGTGCTGCAATGTTGCTGCTTCTTCAATCTGCACTCCCTTCACAATCTGTACAGACTGTTGTGAGCTCTGCATTGGATCAACATGCTTCTGTTTCAAATCTGTTGCTGTTTAAAATTTGCTGCTGCTGTTCTTTGCTGTCAAAACAGTAATTATGCTGCACACTGTGTAGCTGTGTTAAGACCTGCTGTTACGAGAACTTAAGTTGCTGTTTCTTTCTTCTGTAGCATCTATTGTTTGACAGAATCTATTTCAAATCAGCTTTCCAATGATGTTGCTCTCGCACTTGAAAAACATATTACAATCAACTATGTTTTTGTGATTCCAACCAATTACCAGAACTTGATTTTCACAAAAAAATTCAACCTACTGCTTTATCAAACAGCTTACTTACTGCTGTCAAGACCTGTTAAACAGAACTCTAAACTTTTGACAAATCCTTAAACTCAATCACACAGTCTGTGTGTGTACACAGTCACTTGCACATAATGTCCACTCTCTACAGTCAAATTAGCTGTTGTATGTCACAATAGCTTCAACTCAGAATCCTAAATCAAATGATATGAACGACATATAATGAACAATTGAGGAATATGACAGTCAACTATTAGTAAGCCTTGCTGTGATTAAATCCAAATCGTATAGAGATCAAATAAAATTCTGAGAAAATGAAATTGAGCGGTTTAGTAAACCGGACAGATCATGAACAAAAATTGTTAAGTACTAAACCGATCAAGAAGAAATCTAATCCGATCACAAATCCGATCAAGGGTTGATCGGTTTACAAGAATACCGGACAATCTGAGATGGAAAACTTACCTGCTGAACGAATCAGAGCCCTAATCCAGTCAAGTGATGACCGGTGTAGATGAATACCGTTCAAGGCTTCTGCGGTGTTGATGAATACCGCTCAATGTGCGGTTTACCTCTCCGCTTGATGCACTTGCAAAACCGATTGACACCTTCGATTTCCTCCTCCGTTCAATTTTCAAGAGGGTTCAATGTTTCGACCAGAACAATGAAGATGTAGGCGGACTGTGTATCCGGTCAATGTAATGGGCCAAAAAAATGGAATTAAGCCCAAAAAAAATTGAAGTGTTTAAACCGGGTGGGCTTTGGACGGTTTAACAAAAAAAAACAACCAAAAAAAATAAAAACAGATCAAAAACTATTAAAAACACAAAAACAAAAAAATTTAACAACAAAATGGATCAAAAACACTGATTTACGAAAAAATTCAAGAACACGAAAAAAAATTAAAACACAAAAACCGAATAAATCTTGATTAAAATTGATCAAAATATAAAAGTTTGTGAATAACAAAGATTCACAATGCAATTTCGAGCATTTTGATCCTGTTTTTAACGCAAAAACACAAGATTTTATGAGAAAATCGGATCAAACAGAAGAAAAAAATCAAAAACACGAAGAACACTAAGAACAAAAAAAATTCAGAAATTAAAAAAATCACTTATCTTCTTGATTCTTTCTCTGATTTCTTGCATCCTGCTCTGATACCAATTGTGTGGTCCATAAAATCACTGATCAAACTTCAATATGCATAACAATGGCAGAATCTCAGATTTATCTTGTAAGAACACTAAGAACAATTATATGAGTTTTGAGAGAAAAAGTCAATGCATTCAAACTTCAGTCAAACTTCTTAATACGTATCAAATCTTACAATAAGCTCTTCTCTTACTAATTACAAAGATTACCACCTATTTATAAGGTCAAACATACAAACACAAAGTCAAAGTCAAACCTATAAGAAAAGTCAAACACACTGACTTTTTACAATTAGACTATTTATAAACTTTCAAGACGAATACAATTAATACTGATTTCTCAGTCCTAACATATAGTTAGTCGAATACAACTATGGATTGTAAATTATTAGTTGTCTTTTGGTTGTAATTAAAATATCTAGATAACGGGTAGCTAATATCCTCCGTCTTTTATATAGTTTAAGCTTTATGCAAATCTATTCAGTTTATTTTGTCCGTTTTAGGATATTTTGGAAAACAGGTGCTTACGGAAACGTTCTGTAAACCAAGCGGACATTTCGAATTAGAAACTCGTAAATATTATATCCMSTTTGYTTTCTAAAGGTTTAAAAATGTAACTTTTGGTGGTTTGTTTATCATTTATAGAAATGAGGTATTGCAAACCTTTTATCATTTATGTAAACCGGGTCTTTCATATACTACCTTCTTCTTTCACCGGTGGTGCTCAGTACATGATGCAAAATTATTTGGATGCAATGTCCCTTTGTAAATGGTATGGAGATCCTGACTTGTTCCTAACCATGACTTGCAATCCAAAATGGCAAGAAATTAGAAGATTTGTTAAGGACACATGCCTAAATCCAGAAAACAGGCCTGACATTCTTTGTGGTTTATTTAATATCAAGCTTGATGCACTTATTAGAGAATTGAAAGATAATTAAGTTTTTTGGCAAAATTCAAGCAGGTATGTTCAATTTATGATAACAATATCAACATATTTCTTCATACTTTTAGTCTTATCTTCATTAATTTAAGTTGTAACATTTTTGTAGTTGTTTATACAATTGAATTTCAAAAGCGTGGATTTCCTCACAGTCATATCTGTCTGTTTATGCACCGAGATTTCAAGCTGCCTACTGTTGAACAGATTTATCCTATCATCTCAGCTAGGATCCCAGACAAAAATAGTGATCCAGACTTGTACTTACTTGTAAAAGAGTTCATGATGCATAGACCATGTGGTGAAGAAAACATTAATTGTCCACGCATGATTGATAGAAAGTGTTCAAAAAATACCCGAAGAAATTTTTTGAACACACTTCAATTGATGTTAATGGTTATCCTGTATACCGCAGATGAGTTGTTGGACGTTTTATTGAAAAATCAAGTGTTAAACTAGACAATAGAAATGTCGTTCCATATAATAAACATTTGTTGAAAAGATATCAAGCACACATTAATGTTGAGTGGTGCAATCAGGCATCTTCAATCAAGTATCTGTTCAAATATATCAACAAGGGTCCAAATAGAGCTACTGTTGCAATTGTAGAAAACGGTAATGATGCGGTCACTGTTAATGATGTTGATGAGATAAAACAGTATTATGATTGTAGATACCTTTCTGCATGTGAAGCTTCAAGGTGTATTTTTGGATATGATGTTCATTACAGGACTCCTTCTGTTTTAAGACTTCTTTTTTATCTTCCGGGACAACAACAAGTGGTGTTTGGTGCTGAAGATAATATTGATAATGTCCTAAATAGACCATCTGTGGCGTCCTCAATGTTCTTAGCTTGGATGCATTGTAATCAAATTTATCAAGAGGCACGAGAACTCACTTACGTTGAATTCCCTACAAATTTTGTCTGGAAATTGGACGAACAACGTTGGGATCGAAGGGAAAAAGGATTCTCAATTGGACGGATTCATTCAGTTTCTCCTACTGTAGGAGAAGGGTATTACTTACGAATTCTTCTGAATAAAGTCAAAGGTCCTAAATCATTTGAAGACATTCTACGAATTCTTCTGAATAAAGTCAAAGGTCCTAAATCATTTGAAGACATTCGTACAGTTAATGGAAAAACATTTCTTACTATTAGAGATGCATGTTATGCTCTTGGGCTTTTAGACGATGACAAGGAATATATTGAAGCCATTGAAGAGGCAAATTTAACTGCATATGGTTATTATCTCCGCTTCTTATTTGCAACCATGCTGATTTCAAAGAGTCTATCTAGACCTGAATTTGTTTGGGAAAAAACATGGCAATACTTAGCAGATAGGATTCTGTACAATCAACGAATTGCTTTACAGTCGTCAGGTATGTTAATTCTATATCTTAAGCATAGAGTTATACAACTATTATCAAAAACTATGGTTGTTATTAAATTGTATCTACTTTTAATTTCATGTATTAATTGTTTACATTTATATTATCTTCTTACAGATTTATCTCTTAATGAAGAACAAGTGAAGAATCTAACTTTGTTCGAAATTGAAAAGATTTTGCTTCATAACAATTCCACGTTGAAAGACTTCACTACTCTGCCTTATCCTGATAATGATTCGCTTGAATCCTCAAACAACCGTTTGATTGCAGAAGAACTAGACTATAATCATCATAATTTACGTGATGAGTTTCAGACACTTGTAATTGCTCTAACAAATGAGCAAAGAGGTGTGTATAATGAAATCATGACTGCGGTTGAAAAGGAAAAAGGTGGTTTATTTTTTGTTTATGGGCATGGCGGAACAGGTAAAACATTCCTATGGAGACCTTGGCTTCATCAATAAGATCTAAAGGAGAAATTGTTTTAAATGTTGCTTCCAGTGGTATTGCATCTTTACTTCTTACCGGTGGCAGAACATCACCCTTTCGGTTTCACATCCCGCTCATTCTCAATGAAGATTCTATTTGCCACATGAAGCCATACAGTGATGCTGTGAGCTTAATAAAGAAAACTACTTTGATAATATGGGATGAGGCACCAATGGTTCATAAACATGCATTTGAAGCATTAGATAGAAGTATGAATGATATTTTCAATGCTCAACGCACTGGTGACTCACATATGCTTTTTAGGGGAAAGGTAATTGTTTTTGGAGGAGATTTCAGACAGATTCTGTCGGTTATTCCCAATGCAGGTAGACAAGACATCGTAAATGCATCATTAAGTTCATCTTACATTTGAGAAAAATGCAAAGTCCTAAGGTTAACCAGGAACATAAGGCTAACTGCAAACAGTGAGAGTTCAGAAATTGAAGAAACAAAGGATTTTGCAAAATGGATTTTGGACTTAGGAGAAGGAAAAGTTGGAGGTAATAATGATAGTGAAGCAGTTATTGAGATACCTCATGATCTTCTCATTACCGATTGCATCGATCCTATATTCGCGTTAATCGAATTTGTCTATCCCTCAATTCTTGAAAACATCAACAACTCAACTTTTTTCAAGAACGAGCAATACTTGCACCAAAAAATGAAGTAGTTCAAGAAATAAATGATTGTTTGCTGTCATTGTTTCCAGGAGAAGAAAAGGAGTACTTAAGTCTAGACACGTTATGTGAATCAGAGCACCTTCATGATGAGTTTGATAAAACTTTGTACTCTTCTGATGTTTTAAATGATCTTAAATTATCAGGAATACCAAACCATAAGATTTTACTAAAAGTTCCTATCATGTTACTGAGGAATATTGATTAGAAATCTGGATTATGTAATGGTACTAGACTGCGGGTGTTAACATTGGGAAATCGAGTAATAGAAGCACAAGTTATATCTGGAAGCAATATTGGAAGCCGTACATTCATTCCAAGAATGTTCTTAACACCTACAGACAAAAGGATATCATTCAAATTTCAAAGGAGACAATTTCCAATTGCTTTATGTTTTGCCATGACCATTAATAAGAGTCGAGGACAATCATTATCAAAAGTTGGTTTATTTCTAAGACAACCGATCTTCACACATGGTCAATTATATGTTGTTTTATCCAGAGTCAAAAGCAAGCAAGGTTTGAAAGTACTAATTATGGATGATGATGGTATTATTGACAGTAAAACAACGAATGTTGTATACAAAGAAGTGTTTAGTAATATATGATACATGGTTCTTATTTTATTAATGTTTTACATATTTAACTTATATTTATTGTGACATTCCGTCATTTCGGAGTCTCAGTTTAGCATTTTATTATAGATCCTATATTTAGAAATAATATTTCTTTAGGATCTAGTTTTAGTGATTAGAATTTATCTAGATTAGCTCCCAAGTTTTGTTTGAAAGATCACGCATCGGTGGGAGATCAGATAAAGCTAACTTGTGTAATGCCAAATATTTTTGAAATACTCTAAATAAAATAAAGTTGATATTATAAACTTTTAAATTAAAATGCAAAAGTCTCATTTAAATGTCCAAATGATTCTTAGTAAAAGGTGGAGCTTTGGATTTAATTTTATTAATAAATTATTTGGTGGGTTTTAAATTTAAGTGGGCTTATTATTATTTAAGAAAAATAAAAGTTTTATTTGGGTTTGGGCCTTTAGAGGCTAGCCCATTTTCTGGTTTAAAAATCCTCATATAAATACCCCACATCCTTTGAAAAACTTTMATTTCCAAATTHTCAGCTTAARCTTTTTATCTTTCTAATCTCTCTCTAAAGCAAATCACCCTCCAGCCGATTCCTTCAAGCAAACCTTCAAGAAGTTTTGTCAATCTTGAAGAATATTAAAGATTCTAAGAAAAAGGTACGATACTAGTTATCCTACTTTTACAGAATATCAAAAGTTTTCATCCTCCTACTCCTACTACCCGATCTTTTAGTAAAATTTCTGGAAAATTAAAGAGGGGAGATTATTCATCAAAGAACTGAAAATGTCTTCAAAAAGGATGATAATCTATGATCCATGTTCTTTGATCTTTAAGAAAGTAGGAGAAAACCCCATTGCATGCAAAGTCTGTCATGAAAAGTTATATTTTGAAGAATGATAGAACTCTGCATGCATCTCTGATCGGCTTTGCCATCTTCGGGATTTAATGGAATCGGAAAATATCTTCTAGAGACTGAGTAAATTCCTTTGTTAGTTTGAAAATAGAATTTAAATCTTTGAAAAATGATGAGATTAGACCCCAAATAACTGCCGCTTGGTGAGCGTGCAATCTGTTTTGGGGGTTGTGTAATTCCATGTTGTAGAGTAATGATGAGGAATTTAAAACCCACTCAAATTTCTTGATAATTGGAATAGTCGGCTGATGTCATTATTTTAAATGATGTGACAAGTTGGACATAAAATAACTTTTGGAAGGTTTCTACCTTTAGAGTCTTGTGAACCCCAAAAATTCTTGTAACAGGATGTATAATCTGTCCAAAAATCAGCTTTTGAAGTAAAAGATTTTGATTTCTTTTATTTTGGACTATTATTAGTTTATTAATAAAATATCAACTTTAATTCATAAAAATCCAATGGCATTACATAGGGTGCAACTTGACTCTATTCTCGTCTAKAACTCATAGGTGATCTGAATGTGGGATGTTGGTTTATTTAGGAAGACAGGACAGACGTTGAAAGYTTCAAACTTCRTTTACTGGGATATTCATCATCAAASYAGTGAGTACTCACGGCCCCAMTTTTAATACTTTGTTTATTGTTTTGGGGRAAAAKCRTGAGATTAAGCAAACWATGCATATTACTTGTTTGAAACCTTTGGACTAAGGAWCTGCTTAGTCAAGTTTTGTTTGTAACCATTGGACTAAGGAACTGCTTAGTCAAGTTTATTATGTCATGAAATATTGACTGTTACTGCACTTTGATATAAATGTTAAATTGATGTGCTTGGGAGTATATTTTTCAAATAAAGTCCCCGTCCGTAAACGCTGCTTGTTAACTCGGGTACATCCCCGGGCCGTGGTATTGTGGATAGCCGCTATTGTGTTGACAGTCCCACCCAGAAAGGGGTGCACTCTACCTATGTTTTCTTGGTCTAATCATGTGGAATTTGGACCACCTCTGAATTAGTATTATAACGAACTGTGGGACCTAAGTAAGTGTACGGGCTACTTATGGTCGTTCGTAAAATAATGGGGCAAGTTGGTCAGGAAAGGCTCAGTAGCGTCTCAAGTTTTTACATCGTGAAAGATTTACATTTATTAAGTGCAAAAGATTCGCATAAGTTTGCAAATATTTGGTTTATGCATTAAATTATTTTATGCATGTGAAAACTCGTGAACTCACCAACTCTTTGTAGTTGACTCGATTTTGGTCCATGCTTTTCAGGTAACAAGTAAGAAATGAAGTATTTTGGGAGCATACTTGTGGAGAAATTGATTAAGTTCGCAGTGGAAGCTTTTGTAAAAGAAATATTTGTCAAAAATTTGGTTATGATGTTAAACTCATTTTATTTTGAAATTTTAAAAAGTGTTATTTATTAATTGTTGCTGTGACTCACTTGCCTGTTACATCTCGTGTTTCCGCTTTAGCGGGGTGTGACATTTATTCAGTTTATATTGTGTTATAAATATTGTTTTACAACTTCATCTTATTAACTCATATTATTATTAATTCTTAAGAGGCTTATTTTTCATTTATGTTCTGCATTATAATTATCCGACCATAGAGGATCTGCATGTGGTACGCAAATTCTCTCACCCGGACTCTGTGCTTCATACAGAGCTTTAGAGAGGGACTGCATGTACTACGCAGAGTCTTTGACCAAACTTCTGTAATTCATACAGAGCTTTAGAGAGATACTACAGAAACCACGCAGCACCTCTATGCATGATTTTGTGCTTCATGCAAAGCTACACAGCAGCTCTGCATCTACAATGCAGAGCCTCTGTTCACGGAAAATTTATACAAACTTGTAGCGTTGGCTAATTTTAGCAATTAACTCTTGAAAAGAGATTCACACTTGTAACCAGATTGGTCGTCTTGATTTAGAAGTCTTGCAATGCTGGATATTGTCCGTTGTAAACTCTGGAGGATTTCTTAGACCTTGTGTTTGTCAAGCCTGATTCCGTCCTTCATACAGAGCTTAACAGAGGTTCTACACGTGCTTTGCGGTCAATTTGAACCAGACTACGTGTTTCATGCAGAGCTGCATAGAGGTTCTGCATTTAAGTCTTGAGAAAGAGCTCTGTCTCTTCACGTAATGCGTCGATGCTCTGTCCTTACTCTGATGATGGCCTTTAAACTTGTAACTGTAAATAGTTTTCGTCTTAATCTTTAGAAACTTTTTTACACTTGTGTTTTTGAAGCCTGCCTCCGTCCTTTATACAGAGGTTCATAGAGGCTCTGTACTTGTCTTGAGTAAGAGTTCTCTCTCTGTATGTACTACCCAGAACCTCTGATTCCCTTTGCTTGTCTCATACAGAGGTATACACAAGCTCTGCATGTACTACGCAGCACTGCATACTGGATCTACATTATTTGTCTTCATTTAGAAGTTTTCCTGATCATCGAAGCACAGGTCGTCCTTTGTATATGTAACATTTAATTCTCGAGTAAAAGCATCTTTATATCAAAAAATTAATCGGACTTGTACCTTTGTCTAAGTTTATAAATTACCTCCGATTATTAATTCTTTATAAAATACATATCAGTTTCGCTTAATTTTTGTCATCAACCTGTGTAATACACGGATCCGAACCTAGTGTGTCTATATATATATATATATAAATATATAAATCATAGGCGGTGGAATTTATAAACAAATAAACAGGTAATCACATAAATATTTTAAAAATTCTTTAGTTACCAAAATCTTTCAAAACCGCCCCAAATTATATAACCAAAAACCCAGTTATCACACTTAGTCATACAAAAAAACAAAGCATAGGAATGTAACTTAGGGGCCGTTAATTAAATACTTACCCGGTAAGTGTGGATTGGGTAACTTTTCTCACCTGATGCACATGGCAAGGGCTGAAAATCTTACCAGGTAAGAGCGATAATAGGGATAGAGAGTCTTACCCGGTAAGTGATGGTGAGGACTCTTACTCGGGTAAGCGTTTACTGGGTAAATTGTTGCATACGTTACCCAAAAATATTATTGACTCAAAACACAGGCAATCAAAGCCTCTCTGGTTATAAACCATTTTCCTTCTCTACATAACAACATTGTTGTCATATCAATAAGAATAATAATTCCAAGTCCTCACATCACAAAGAAGTGATAATTTAAGATCATTGCATCTTATGGATGTAATAACAAGATGTATGATGAAAACTCAGATTTCACACTTACCACCCTTATTCCAATGGTATACATTTCCTTGATATGTCACCCTTATTCCATGGTACACCTCTCCTTGATATGACACCTTTACCCCCTCATAAAAATTTAACCAAAACTGTCATTTTTGCCTAGAATGGCATCAAAACAGTTTCATCACAGAAACTTCATATTAAGAACTTTTACAGTTCTAAACCCAACTTTATTATCAACTCAAAATAATTTCAGGAACAGTTGCCTTTTTCCACATAGAACCATACAGTTCAATAACTCAAATACCAAATATAGAAAGTTGATAAAATAAGCTTACCTTATGTGCACGTATTTGAAGATGAAACTTACAGCAACGATTTTCAAATATAATCACAGAATCAACTTTTAATAGCTTCACGTAGTATCTCATATAGGAATACACAGTTTTTTTCTCTTCTTTTCTTTTTCTAAAACCGAATAGATCAGATAAATTTATCTTATTACGTTTATATGCTATCTAAAAACTCAGGCGGTGGAGTCTTAATATTTTAAAACTCATAACTTACACTCAACCCCATGAACTAAAATATATATATATATACATATATATATATATACATATATATATATATACATATATATATATACATATATATATATACATATATATATATACATATATATATATATATGTTTGTACAAATTGGGTGTTTGTATTTGATCGTTCCCCTATATATATATATATATATAAATCATAGGCGGTGGAATTTATAAACAAATAAACAGGTAATCACATAAATATTTTAAAAATTCTTTACTTACCAAAATCTTTCAAAACCGTCCCAAATTATATAACCAAAAACCCAGTTATCACACTTAGTCATACAAATAAACAAAGCATAGGAATGTAACTTAGGGGCCGTTTATTAAATACTTACCCGGTAAGTGTGGATCGGGTGACTTTCCTCACCTGATGCACATGGCAAGGGCTGAAAATCTTACCCGGTAAGAGCGATAATAGGGATAGAGAGTCTTATTCGGTAAGTGATGGTGAGGACTCTTACTCGGATAAGCGTTTACCGGGTAAATTGTTGCATACGTTACCGTTTTAATATACTACAATCTTATCTGGTAAAATAGATTATAATGTTAACTCCTACCAATATGCGCTTACCGAGTAAGTATTTGGGTAAACGGCCTCTTGCTTTTTTTTAAAAACAAAGAAACATGGATAAACACTTTAAATATAAAATAATAGAAATATTTGATTTTTAATGGGGTTTTCTAACCCCACCGCCTCCTACACTCTTCCCCCTACATTTTCTATACCCTCTCCTATATATTATTTTTCAGTTTTAACCTTTTGATATTTTCAGTTTTGACCCTTCAACTTTTATAATATTTTGTTATTATATTTTTTTTTTTAATTTTTAATATAGATTATAATTATATAAATTAATTAATTTTATATTATTATTAATTAATAAAG